TGATCATGGGGCATTCTTGGCAAAGATACTGGAGTGGCAATGCCATTTCCTACTCCAGGTGGATTGCATTTAGTCAGAACTCTCCACTATGATCTGTCCATTTTGGGTGTCCCTGCACGACATAGCCCATAGCTTCTCTGAGTTACTCAAGCCCCTTCGCCATGACAAGGCAGCAATCGATGCCTTGCAGCAATCGATACCAACAGAAATGTAGCAGCAAACAGTAAAATAAAAGTGGGAAACAGCTTTGGAAGAGGAACATCCACCACAAGGTGCAGCAAATGGAAATTTCCATAATCTTCATCTCATTCCCATCCTCTCAAAGGCTGTATGTCATCATCTGACTTTGGATGTGGGAGCTTCAAACAATTATACTGTCTTGCATCTACACTGTTTTTGAAGGATTTTCAGCCAAAAAGTTCTCCTGTTTACATATATTTTTTCCATTTATTTTACCTTGAATGACCAATTTTTAACAACCTGTACTTTTTGTTTCTCCTCAAAGGTATCCTTGTTTTCTGCATTTTTTTATTTCTTGTTCTACATTCATTCATCATTACATTTATTCATTCATCACTACATTCATTTCTTCACTAGAATAATGTAAGGAATTTATATTTTTCAACATGGGCCACTCTTGCTTTTTACTGATTATTATGAATTTGTTTTCCTCAACATTCATTTTATACCACGTTCATGACTTACTTCATTGACTTTTCCCATGGGTGCTTTAAAAAAACAAGAAAAAGGGTATTGTGAATCTCAAACAGTTAAATTGCCATCTGATTTGATACCTTCAGGAGCAAGTACTGTACTACTGAACTCAGGGGGACATAGCTATATATATATGAAGCTCCACAGAAACAGAGGTGGTCATGTAGTACCTATAAGACTAACTAGTTTTAATTTTTTTACAAGATTTTGTGTGTTCAAGCAGTTTTCTTCAAGTGAATGAGGTGACTGTGTCTCTGACACAGTACAGATCTGTCGACAGTTTGAAATCATTGGCAACAATTATAGGATGCTAACAGTTCTCCATACCAACAGTTTAAAACTAGATCTCTAACAGACATTAGGAAGTGATTAATTCCATTATAGTGGTGGTGATTAGGGTCTAACTGAGTGACAAAGATTCTGATTATTAGATTAGT